TGCGCAGATGGTACAAAGGAAAACTATCATAGAATGAGGTGTTCTACCACGTGGTAAGCTTAGATTTTAAAAAATTAGGTATGGGGTTGCATTTCCAATAATAACACACCACACACACACACACACACACACACACACACACACACACACACATATATATATATATATATATATATATATATATATATATATATATATATATGCACACACACACACATACACACATATGTATATATATACACACAAATATATATGACATACACACTATAAAATGTGAAACTGAAAAGGAACAAAGTTAAAATACAAAATCTACCGATCATCCACAGCTTTCAAACAGGATTTTTCGTTAGAATTTTTTTTTTAAGTAGCATTCTCCTCCGTACAAAAAGCTTTACATTGGCCTCGAATTCACACTGCACTTACCTTTCTTCCCTTCGAGGGCCTCTTCCTCCGTCGCTGCGAAGCCGGAGAAGCGGTTCCAGGGACTTGTTCGCGCGCCCGAGCTTGTCCGAAACCAGGTAGGCTCTGTCCTAGGATGGGATCTGGAGCACGGGAGTAGGCGGGTGCGGTGGCAAACCTTTGGGGAGTCCTTGTGGTATATTCCTGGAGAGGTGCTAAGGTATTGTCCAGGATCGGAGCGGGTGTTGGGGTGACGTCGGAATACGGTGACGGGGTGTGGCCGACTATGGGAGATGGCGGATTTGTATTCTGGATGAGTGGGGTGCGATCCAAGACAGAGGGTGTTGTGTGAGTGAAGGCAGGTTCTTGGGTAGGACTCTGGGTAGTGACTGATGGGTATGCTTGCGTAGAAGCTGAGATTCGTCCTTGTTCAAGAGGGGTGTATCCTGTAATTGGTTTGGCTGTATGTGTCGTTGTCGGTTTGGGTGTGTATCCTGTTATTGGTTTGGGTGTGTATCCTACTGTGGGAGATGGCCCTCGTCCTGCGTCAGGAGAAGGTGTGTATTCCTGGACAGGCTTTGGAGTGAATCCCAAGCCGGGCTGTGGGCTTTGGCTGTAATCAGACAGTGATGTGAGTCTCGGGGCAGGTGTAGGAGTACTCCCTAAAGCAACAGGTGTTGTGTATCCTTGGGTTATAGGTGATGCATATCCAAAAGCAAGGGCTGGTGTGTATCCTCGGACAGATGGTGTGTATCCTGGAGTAGGTGTTGGGTTGTATTCAAAACCAGGTGTTGCTGTGTTATCTGCTACATATTCCGCGGGAAGACCTGGTGTGTATATTAAAGGCGATTGTGAGTGTTCAAAAGTAGGGATTGCAGTGTATCCAAGTGTAGATGTGGAAGGCACTGGAGTCTGACTTAAGTTTTCTTCTTGCAAATTGTTTGATATATCTTCCGAAACAGAATGTTCATAAATTCCTAATCCGGCATCTGTCGTAGCGGAATCAAGAACACCTGATGGAAATTCTGGGGCAGAAATAAAGCCTTGACCATGGACTATTTGTCTTCCTCCGTCACCTGTTGTGCTCGGAACCACTTCGACACCTGATGTATTTTCTAAACCATAAGCATTATTTTCATTTTCCGGCAAGTTTTGGCCACTTGTATCGAATTTTGCAGTTGGTCTGAAATTATCTTGTACCAGATACTCTTGGTTATCTAGATTAGCCTCTGGGATGGAGCGAGCTATAGGCACTTGGTCAGGCAGCGGGATATGTTGGTCGCCTGTAAGATCAGCCGCTACATCAAGTCCAGAAAATTGAGGGTTTGATGGTGATTGGTCATTCGTCTCTTCATACTGACTGTTGAATGAAGAACTTAGTGAAAAATCTGGCGAGTTGGTGAAACTGGATATTGCACCATGATCCTGGGTTGGATTGTTGCTAAATTCGCTGCCAGATATTGTGTGATCTGAAGAATCCTTACTTGGTGTGGAAGGAAGATCAAGTATCGGTAGAGAGTTCTCATAACTCTGAGGGTTAAGATGAGTCTCCTGAAGGTTATATTCAGGATCTACACTTTGGGAAGAACCTAAATTGTTTGTCAAATCTTGTTCATGTCCTAGTTCTGATAAAACTCTTGACTGTGTTAATTCCAAGTTCGTAGACAATGGCTGATCATACTCAGTTTCCTCGTCAGATGTCTGAACATTTTCAAGTCGAACATTATTGAACTGGCTGTATTCAGTCCCCAAATTGGGAGTCACTTGAGATGCTCCTGGATTTGTGTGAGGATAATCGGACCCTATGTCATCAAGTCCTAACTCTTTGCCTTCTGCTTGACTGTCTAACTGGACATCGCTTTTCATATCAGTAAGGTTGTCACTTACTGTTTTATCTAATTGGAAAGCTGATGAGTCAAAACTACTTGGCTGACCATATTCACTCCCTATTTCGCTTGGATGAATAAGCTCTGGCAACAGAATAACTGGCTGAATAAAGGGTGCAATAGTACCTGATTGGTTGTGGTCAGATATCTGATTTGTATGAGCGACTATTCCGCCATTTTGATCTACCAGTTGACCAAGATCAAGGTTTGTTAGCTCTGTGTGGTCAAATCCCTGATCTAATGGCTGGGAAATATCTGGGTCAGCTGACTGAACATAATCAATAGAACCAGGTCCAGTCTGACTATAATCTGATACCACATAATCTGATCCCTGGCCTGCTTCTTGGACGTAATCAAGCCCGTCGCTTAAACCTACAATATAGTCGGTTCCTGTGTGTGTATCGTGGACATAGTCGTTTCCAAGGCTTATTCCCTGGACATCATTGGTTCCCTGGTCTACTAGCTGTAAATCACTGGGTCCTTCTTCTCTTGGCTGCAGATAATCAAAGTCTGTGCTTCTCGGCTGGGTATAATCAGAATGCACGTCAGATGCTTGAACATATTCATATCGTGAGTCACCGGATTCATCAATATGAGAACCAGTGCCAGTTGGATAGTCATACTCGACTGCTTGTGCACTGTCGATTCCAGTCGGGTTGTATCCGTTCACTTGTTGAGAATATCCAGTATTAACATTATCTGAAAGATTGTACTTTGATTCCTCGACAGCTGTGGGTTGGTTATACTGTGACCCAGTGATTGCAGGTTGGTTATACTGTGACCCAGTGATTGCAGGTTGGTTATACTGTGACCCAGTGATTGCAGGTTGGTTATTCTGTGGCCCAGTGATTGCAGGTTGGTTATACTGTGACCCAGTGATTGCAGGTTGGTTATACTGTGACCCAGTGATTGCAGGTTGGTTATACTGTGACCCACCGATTGTAGCTTGGTTATACTGTGGCCCAGTGATTGCAGGTTGGTTATATTGTGACCCAGTGATTGCAGGTTGGTTATTCTGTGACCCATTGATTGTAGGTTGGTTATACTGTGACCCTGAAGTTGTATGTTGGCTGTGGTGACTAATGGTCGTGGTAAACTGGTCATTTTGAGATCCTGTATTTGCAGGTTCACCAAAGTCAGAATCTGCGATCGCAAACTGGTTATTCACTGATTGGCCATTCTGTCCTTGGAGAATCGGTATTGTCTGGTCATTCCGTGAGCCTGATGTTAAAGATTGGAAATGATGTGAAGTGATGACTGGTGACTCATGTATTGACCCAGTAGCAGAGACCTGTACATGAGGTCCTGTTGGTAGTAACTGCTCATACTGTGGCCCAGTTAGCAGAGACTGGTCATACTGTGACTCTACAACTGAGGATTGGTCAGGGTCGGGCACATTGGTTGATAATGGATCATAACGTGAACCTGTTAGAGAAAACTGTTGTTCTGACACAGTTTTTGGTGACTGGTAGTCTTGTGACCCAGTTGAGGAATGGGCAAATTGAGACAATGTGCTTGGTGTCTGAATATTTTCTAAACCTGTGACTGAAGACTGGTCATACTGGGTCCCAGTTATTGGTGCTTGCTCAAATGAATTGTCTCTGCCTAAAGATTGGCTATATTGTGACCCTATGGCTGAGGAAAGACCATATTCTGACCCTGGAGTTTGGGGTTGAGTAATCTTTACCATTAGTTTTGGTATCTCATTGTCTTGAGACCCTGTGGCAGAGAACTGACTGTGGTTTTCTCCAGTTACTGGCAACTGATTATGCTGTGAACCTGTGACAGAGGATTGCTCATAGTCTAATCCCGTGTTTAGGGAAAGATTATAAGTTGCTTCATTTATTGGTGGTTCATCATACTGCAATCCTGTGGGTAAGGAGTGGTCTTGCTTTTCCCCAGTTGTTGGTAACTGATTATACTGAGACCCAGTGGCTGAGAGTTGGCCATATTCTGATCCAGTAACTGAGGATTTCTCTCCTTCCAAAACAGGCACTTGATATTGCTCTTCGTCACTTAGAACCGACTGTCCCTGCACACTTGATAAAGAATGGTGAGGTTCCACACCTGAGTCATGAGGTATCTCACGGAAGAATCTTGGCGCAGTATTTGAAGTAGGATCTTGAGAGGTTGCATCACCTGATTTGGTAGGTAACGTCAGATGAGTTGTTCCTTGGTTTAGTTCTGTGCTAACTGTATGAATTGGGGTAGGGTCATTAGATGATGGTTTGCCCTGCTGTAGATTTTCTCTGTTCTGAGGCATTAAGGCTTCATCGGGGTTGGGGTAGCCATTAGAGGTAAATGAATCAGTTGAAAAATCTGTTTTGAGTGGGGTAAGCTGATCAAGATTATATGAGGCTGAGTATTGTTTCGATCCATGTGACAAAGTAGAAGGGTAGTCGAAGTCGTTTGAGGATGCAGAATTATATCCGACGTCATAAGATGGAAATGCCACGTCAGAAGATGGCTCATTATCTGTATTGATTGCACTGTTAAACGCAGTTAGTGGAGGTTCACCTGCATTGGGGTCCAAAGCATATGCAGGGTCAGAGAATGGTGTGTATCGCGAAGGTTGAAGATCTGAGTTGAAAGCAAAGTCATGAACAGATGTTTGGTGATTCCCAGGATCATGGAAGGATGACAGTTCAGAAGTATCTTTGGAGGCATCTCCAAGTTCAGCAATTGGAGGACGAGACAAGCTCTGTGTACTGTTGT